AATATACCACCAAGAAAGCGATAATAGAGACAGGTGAGGCGCGCAGCCATGACACTTGCTTGTTCCTGGTCGGGAGTCACTGACGCGAGGCAAAAGGCCTGAAATTCAACGCCCAATCATCTCCAGGCGAGCATGCCTTTTAATATAATCCGCTACCCCATATAATTAATCTGACATCGGACTGTGACGGAATCCAGAAATAGAGAAGAATGTTCGAGAAATGCATGATCTTGGCTAGAACAGGCAGCCCTACGACGTGGCAAAGAGCGCATCCGTTGGATAAAGAATGAACGTACTCGTGGCTGACTGTCATAAGTTCCTTCCGAACACGCACTGGATCAGTAACAAACTCGGAGGAACCGCAAACGCGATTCTTACTACAATAGGAAATAAACACTTGAAATTAAAAAAAGTGACACGACTCAACGCACTTTGATAATCATGCACCAAATAGAGCACTATCTTACCAATGGTAAATAATTATTGCTAAGACATATATCAAGGACTGAACAACAAAGTCTGGCTGTGCCATACATTATATTGAAATATACCTAGAAGTTAATTCCTGGTGGAAATTGATTCCTCCAACCTCTTATATAAACCAGCCCACCCAGAACCCCTTTCAGCAGCACCTTCGTCACCGCACGTTTCCCACTTCAAGGCTCACGCCATCTGCCACGTCTCGAATCTCAGACGACTGAACAAGCTCACATTACCTGACCTCATTATCCCATCGCTGCCCAGAGAAATTACAGCTTCTCCAAAAGAAGCGCCACAAGGAAAACCAGTCGGACAAAAACCACCTCATTTTGACTCCAACTTGCTGACATCTGAAAAGTCGAACAGGACATAAAAAGACCCACTCCAGGCGAGACCTACAGCCAGGAATCCACTTCACCTCGGTTCACTGGTGACACACGTCACATACAGCCAAACCCAAGAAGTCCAGGCACCAAGAATAACCTAAAAAACTGGCAGGCTGTGCCTCACCTAACATGCACCTGTCGACAGGCGCTATGCAACAGCCACTTATGAACCCCATGTCTGGGAACTACTGAACCTTGCGAAAAATAAGCTAATAAAAAAACCACATCCAACGTACAAACTCCAACAAAAGACCACCCCAGGATGAGAAACCACAGCCGCGCTCTCATTCAGACAGAGGATGAAACAAAACACTTACACACCGGGATCGCCTGGCCCGGTTCCACGTGTGCAGACACTTTAGGATATATTAACTCATCCAATTCTCAAAACCACCCAGGAAATAGGTACTATTATTATTTCAATTAACAGAGGATAACTAGACACAGAGAGGTTACTTAACATGCTTAAGATGGTGAAAGAGTTCACGGGGCTTCGTATCAGCAGGAGTACAGAAGCAGGTGCTGGAGCCTGAGCTAATTACTGCTGCATTAAAAAAGAAGATATAGCTTTGGGCAAGAGAGAATCAAACTCAACCTTATTTGCAATATATGATTTTATACCTAGAAATCCCAAAAGAATCCTTGCAAAACTAGTGGAATTAATGAGGCTACCAGTAACGTCCTGTAGAGAGGATAAATATTCTAAAATTACCAGCTGTTCTTATTAGTATACCAGCAAAGGACAAAAAATAGAATGGGGGAAAAATACCATGAGATTTAGCAACCACCACAACAGAAATATCTAAAAGCATCTTGGCCGGTGCGGTGGCTCACTCTGTCATCCCAGCATCTGGGAGGCCGAGGCGGGGGATTGCTCAAGGTCAGGAGTTCGAAGCCAGCCTGAGCAAGAGCGAGACCCCGTCTCTACTATAAATAGAAAGAAATTAATGGCCACTAATATATATAGAAAAAATTAGTCCGGGCATGGTGGCGCAATGCCTGTAGTCCCAGCTACTGGAGGCTGAGGCAGGAGATTGCTTGAGCCCAGAGATTGAGGTTGCTGTGAGCAGGCTGACCACGGCACTCACTCTAGCCTGGGCAACAAAGGAGACTCTGTCTCAAAAGAAAAAAAAAAAAAGAAAGAAAGAAATATCTAAAAGCATCTTAATTATCAGAAAATCTTTGAAGAAAATAATAAAAATTTACTGAGAGAACCTTTTTATGTTCACTTTTTACAGGGTGATTGTGTTGTATGTAGCTAAATACAACTGCATTCTACCTTTTCACCGGACAGGTTTATTTCTCCAGACGAATTCTTCCTAAATGTAATTTTAAATGGCCATATAATATTCCATTTATCCCTTAGCCCTAATTTATTTAGTTTTTGGTTTTTTATTTAGAGTGTTTCCCATTTTTCACTTTTATAATCACTACTGTCTAGAGCTCTTTTGCAGTAATAGCTTCGGATTATTTGTAAATTGTCTGTTCCACACACTTTATCCATTTACCATTTGGCGATTCTAGTGTTTTTCTTAACAATTTATGTTAAGAAAAAGATGTAAACTCTTCAAAATTGTGCTTTGCCATACTTACCCAACTTTTTTGTCCATTTGCCTTTAAAACTTAACTTACGAAGTTTTCATATTTTAGAGTCAAATCTATTTTTCATGTATTCCTTTGTGATTTTTTCCATTGCATCTAAACTGAGAAAGTTTTCTCCCATCGGGGGATTTAATAAATATTATTATGTATATGAA